TAGGACAGGGCAGGGTTTTGTTCTGCTGTGCATAAGGTTGTTATGGGTTGGAACTGACTCGATGGCACCAAACAACAGTGACATACTAGGGTAAGTAAATATATATATATATATATATATTCATACTAGGGTTTTTGGTCATACATGCATAGACTTATTCCGAATAAAAAGTGTTAAATGTGTCTCTGTAATCTGCACAATTCTCATGGTAGTCAAAACATTGGCCTCCAAGTGGATCTACTTGACAAGTTCAGTTCAAGTCAGAAAGTTCAGTTTAGAAGATTATTGTAACTACTTTTTGTGTCTCCAGAGTAGTTATGTTCACAGATTTTCTTAAAGGACATAAGACATTTTTGTTGGACTATTAGAAGATTTTTCAAAAAGTGAAAAGTGCATTCGTGACAAATGATAGGACAGTTGAATTTTGGGTGGTTCTTTGGTTTTTGTTTTGTTTCAATGGTTTGGGAAGTTGTGCTCATGAGTTTTGTTAAAAATCTGATATGTGTCGTGACTTCAAAATTAATTTTTCCCTATAGCACATTGACTATATAAAGTAATTTGATTGTGGATCATAAAGTCATTTGACTATGGATCATAGAAAATATGGAGAATGGAAATTCTAGATTTTTTCTTTTGTTGTTATATTCATTGTCTTATTTTAAAAAATAATTTTATTCCTCTCTCCTCATATCCTTCTTGCCAAGAAGTAAAAATTGACACAATGATCTATAACTGTCAAGCTAACATCAGAAGCTTTTAGCAGTTTTTGATGGAGCTTCAAAAAATTCTTAGAAGATGGTAAAGGTTAATGGAACTTTTCAATAAACTATTGAAGCCCTCTCTTATACATAATTCCAAGCTTCTTCACATAAACTTTTGAAACAAATTCATAAGGACTCAAGTCATTGAGATGTTGCAAACTTTAGGGTAGACACATTCATGAAATTGATCCAAAGTTCTTAAATGCTAAGAGGAGTGATAAGACCCTTTCCTTGTGTCTTGCCTGGACTCCTCTACCTCCCATCCTCATCCCCATCCCCATCAAAAAGATTAACATTGTTAGCCTGTTACCTGTGCATGCATAATGTGTTCTCTTTCTGATTTTTGTAGTGCCCTTAAACTGAAGCCAAAGGAAGGAGAAACATATTTTGATGTTGTAGCCATCATTGACCCTGTCACCAGAGAAGCACAAAGACTTGCCCCATTGCTCTTGGTAGGAACAAATGCTGGTCTTGTTTCCTTGAATTAGTCACATGTCAAGAAAGTTTTAGAGCTGTCTGTGATCTCTTTGTTCCTTTACTTTATTCAAAAGAGAGCAGAAAAGTGACCGGGTATCTTGGGTATAGCAAATGTCTTTAGATAGTACCTCATACCCTTGGAAAGTTGGTACAAGTATAGTTGAGTCCCTTGGCTCAAGTAACAAAGAGATTATGAACACATGTCATTGAGTTAAACTGATTAATATCATAACTTAAAATTAACGAGATGAAAAAGTTAAAAAAACACTTTTTCATTTTCCTTAACCTGCAAG